CTCTCTGAGACAATCTCCCATTTCTAGCTCTCTCTCTCTCTCTCTCCTTCTCTCTCTCTCCTTCTCTCTCTCTCTCCTCTCCTTCTCTCTCTCTCCTTCTCTCTCTCTCTCCTTCTCTCTCTCTCTTTCTCCCTTCCTTCCTCCCTCCCTCTTTCTCTTTTATAAAGGAAAAACAGAATGTCCTGGGGCTGCAGGTACAATTCCAGGAAGACTGGGGAGTCCAAGGCTTTGACTCCACACACTGAAGGCCGTGTGCACTTTGGTTAGGAGAGACTGTTTGGCCTTGGCCATGTACCCCAGCGGTCTGGCTCACAAGCTCCTGAAGGAAGCCCTGGTGCTGCCGGATCATTTCCCGGCTTTCCTTCTCACACGTAGGGTCAGTTTTCGGTTACTGCCTGGAGATTTGGACTCCGAGGAAAGCTCAGCTAACTAACTCCCCGGGAAGTTCACCCACAACAAGGTACCTGAAGTGGCCAGAGGGTGACGTTTATGTCCCCGTTGATACCCTGAAGAGAGAACATGGAGCCGCTACTCCCAGTGGTGAAGGAAAGCAAGGCCTTCTTATTCTGAAAGAGAAAACAAGTGTCACCCCCTCCTCTCCTGGGACCCAGTGAGTTAATGAGTGGGGCCTCAGGGAGACGGACGAATCTGTCCATCCTACTGGGGCTATCATTTCAGACCAACTCCTCTGCAGCTTCAGCGTGACTCTGCACATGTTCCGACTGTGGCTGTGACCGGCATGTGGCTGTGGACAGCCATGACTGCAGCACAAATCATAAACTCACTTCAAACATTAGGAGATGAGCTGGCATGGTAGATGGCCCCGCATGGTGGCACATGGCTTTAATCCCAGTACTTGGGAACCACAGGCAGGAGGATCTGTGAGGTTGAGGCCAGCCTGGTCTACAGAATGAGTTCCAGGACAACCAGGGCAACACAGAGAAACCCTGTGTCAAAAAAACAAAACAGCAAAAACATTGGCGGCACAAGTCTTTAATCCCAGCACTCAGGAAGCAGAGGGAGGTGGGTCTCTGTGAGTTCCAGGCCAGGCTGGTCTGCAAAGAGAGACCCTGTGTCAGTTTTTTAAAATTTAAATTAAAAAAAAGTTACAGGATGTTTCTCGCCTCTATTTATCCTCCAAATAACAAAGAGGGTTTTTTTTTTTTTTTTTGGTTTTCATTTGTTTGATTTTTAGTTGTTTTATTTTTTTCCAGGCCAGGCTGGTCTGCAAAGAGAGACCCTGTGTCAGTTTTTTAAAATTTAAATTAAAAAAAAGTTACAGGATGTTTCTCGCCTCTATTTATCCTCCAAATAACAAAGAGGTTTTTTTTTTTTTTTTTTGGTTTTCATTTGTTTGATTTTTAGTTGTTTTATTTTTTTCCAGGCAGGATCTCAAGTATCCCAGGCTGACCTAAAACTCTCTACTTAGCTGAGGATGACCTTGAACTCCTGATCTTCCTGCCTCTACTTCCCAAATGGGATTTTAGGTGTCTGACACCACGTCATCAAATTTTCGTTTTATTTTTCCTATGGAAAATCTGAAACACGAAGAGAAAAATAGCACAGCGAGTGTCCACCAGACATCTTAAAGTCTAGTTCATCTGTCCTGTGCCACTCACGTTCCCTCCACACTCACTTTTTCATTTTTTTCTGGAATATTTTAAAACACAGTCCAAGGGCTGGTGAGGTAGCCTAGCTGGTGAAGGAGCTTGTCACCAAGAGTGACAACCCGAGTCTTAACCCCCAATCTGCAAGCTTACCTCCACATATACACCGAGGCACTGTGTGCCCCTCCACATAAACCAACAAACTAGGGGACTGGAGAGGTGGCTTGGGGGTTAAGAACACTTGCTGCTCTCCAGTCGACCCAAGTTCAATTCCCAACACCCACATGATGGCTCACACCTGTCTGTAACTCCAGTGCCGGGGGATCTGGTGCCCTTTTCTGGACTCCTTGGGTGCTGTGCACATGTGGTACACAGACCTACAAAACAGCAAAACACCTATAGGCATGAAATAATAAATAAGTGTAAATAAAAATCAAATCCAAAACATGGTATCTTTTGATTTATAAGAGCTGTACAATGCTCCCTGGTCTTAGAGTCAGGCTGTGTTCTTGGGGCAGCATCTACCCAGGAAATGCCCAATGGTTCACCTACCTGGAAAGGACCGTTGTCATACATGGCAGCATATGTGTAGGCAAATCCTGCCACAAGCACTCGATCAAACCAGCCTTTCAGAATGGCGGGCACTCCAAACCAATACATGGGGAACTGCAGGGCAGAAGACACCCAAAGTCAGCTCTAGGCACTACCCTGCCGTCCCTTCCTCCCATAACCAGGAAGAGCTCAGGTCCACAGTGTCACCGTAGAGTACCTTCACCCTTGTGATTCCTCAGGAAAAGTTAGCACATTTAGCAAAACAGGGATAACCAGGGGGAGTGCCTTGCTTTCTTAGTATGTACTACTTGGTGAGGCCGGGCTGCAGGATTGCTGAATGCCAAGAGTTTGAGGCCAACCCGGGTAGCAAAACAGAGAGAGAGAGAGAGAGAGAGAGAGAGAGAGAGAGAGAGAGAGAGAGAGAGAGAGAGAGAGAGAGAGAGAGCTCCCCCACAGACACACACACACTAAAACTGGATGTAGTAGCAAGCATCTGCTATCCTAAAACTCAGGAGGCTAAGGCAAGATACTGAGGATTTAGGGCAGCATGGGCTATATACCTAGACCATCTCAAAAAAGCAAGAGAAGAAATATAACAAGACATCCTATCAATTCAGGAGGCTGAGGCTGAAAGATTGTGAGTTCAAGGCTAGCCCAGGCAGCATAGTGGTACTCAAAAATAGTCCCAGCACTCAGGAAGCAAAGGCAAGTTGATCTCTGTGAGTTTGATGCCAGCCTGGTCTACGTATCGCGTTCTAGGTTAGCCACGACTATATAGGGAGACCCAATCTCAAAAAAATAAAATAAAATAAAAATCAAAGAAACACAACAACACAAGAAATCAAAATGAAAGAAACACAGCAGTCGAGAGAGAGTTTACATGTTAACAGCACACACTTCACCTGGCAGTGGTGGTGCACACCTTCAATCCCAGCACTCGGGAGGCAGACACAGGTGGAACTCTGTGAGTTCAAAGGCCAGCCTGGTCTACAGAGTGAGTTGCAGGACAGCCAGAAGTACACAGAGAAACTCTGCCTCAAAAAAAAAAAAAAAAAGTACATACTTCTCTTTCATATAAGCCAGACTCAGTTTCAGCACCCACGTTGTTAAGTGGTTCAGGAGTCTAGCTCCCACTTCTGGTCAAGGGATCTAACACCCACTTCTGGTCTCCACAGGCACCTATACCTGCATACACATACTCACTCACAGACACACAGCCTACATAATTTCAAAAGCATTTTCCTGATATGGTGGAACACACCTTTGAAACCAGCGCTCTGTGGGTTCTAGGACAGCTTGTTCAACATAATGACTCGAAGCCAGCCAGGGCTACACAGAGAGACCCTGTCCCGAAACAAACAAAATACTAAAGAAAAATATATAGTAGTGCCTTACTCAGTAAGAAAAGAGGAAATTCTGACCTTGGCCCTGACTCTTTTTTTTTTTTTTTTCTCCTAAAAACTACAGCTGCTGTCTGGGTGTGAATAAAGTCGCATGCAAATAAGATCCGTTTCCATGGAATTCAACTGGTATCAAAGTCCAAGTAGCAAGGACTGCAAGGCGCCTTTGCCTCCGCGAGCAATGACAGAAGATTTTCCCAAGAGTTTGTATTAGCAGATGTCCTCCCAAGACGAGCCTCCCTTGTGCACACAGATCTACAATCCCATCAACTAGAACAAACAGACTCACTCAGAATGTAGACCGCTGGTCACTGTGACTAAGGTGTATCAGGAGCCCCATGAGAAAGTCTTATCTGGGGTACTGTTCAGTGGCAGAGCACATGCCTTGCACACTAGTCTGAGGCTCTGTCATCCATCCCTACACCCCCAAAACTGCATATTATCTGCCCTCTGGTCCCAATGAAAGCTGAGGAGAATCTGCTCAAGCCTTTACTCTCCTCAAAACATGGTTCAAAGCTCATGAACACAGCAGGAAGAAAGCCAGGACAGAGAAAAAAAAATTGTAGGGCTTAGAGTCCATAAAGAGCTGGTCTCACAAGCATCAGTGCCTGAGTCCACTTCCCAAGCACCCCTGCGAAAAGCTCGATGTGGTCTCAATATGCTTCTAATCCCAGTAACTGAGGCTGCTGGGATGCTGCACATGGTCCCACCAATACAATGGTCTGGGATACAAAAGGAGCAGAGTACACATTTAAGAGAGCCCACAGGAAGAGTCTACTAACTAGGCACACTGGGGGAGAAAAGCCGGGGACTTCTGTGTCATCGTCGGGACCGTGTTCCTACATGAAAGTATAATTAACCCCAGTCTGGTCAGCAGATAAAGTCACCAGCCACCAAGCTTGATGACTTGAATTGGATCCCCCAGACTGCATTGTGGAAGGAGAGAAGCAACTCCTGATAGATGCCCTCCAGGAGCAAAGGGCAAGTGTGCATGCACACACACACACACACACACACACACACACACACTAATGTAACTTAAATAAGTACACAAAGCTCAGGAAGCTAAGCTGGGTACTATTTGTGAAGCTCCGCAGTGCCACCCTCTGAATGACATCATTTATTCAGAGGGAATGCAGAGAGTGACAGGTCCGGGGAACTGGACAAACACCCCAGACATCACTTCCTTATGATTTCTGCCCTAGCCATACCTGAAATATCACGAGGTCTGCAGCTTCCAGCTTTTTCTGTTCAGCCACGATGTCTGGGCTCAGGCGCCCTTCCTTATAGGCTAGAGCTGTCTCTGAAGAGTACTGAAAGTTTTCAGGGTCCTTCGGCTTACCTATCGGGAGGAAAGAGGGGCTGAGGCTGGGCCACAGGGTCCACTGTCAAGGGAGAGAGACAGTTTTTACCTGTGATGTCCTTTCTGGAAACGATGGGGTTAAAGTTCATAGCATAGAGGTCGGATTCAGCCACCTCCCAACCTTGCTTCTTCAGAGCCTCTGCGGCAGCCTCCTTCATGGCGTAGTTGAATGAAGTCTTCTCCTCATGGGCCAATACAACCAGGGCTCTTCTCACTGTTTAGGGGACAACACAGTGAGATGTGGAAGGGAGATTCAAACAAGTTGAATGAGTGACTCATCTAACATGCTTGGGACCAGACATGTTTCCACCTTAGTTTTTTAGATTAGGATATAGTGGCTAAGGTTATCAATTAAACAGCTCTAATCTGAACATCTGAAGTCCAGCAGGCTGATGAGATGTTTCAGCAGGTGTGGGCGCTGTCACGTCTGATGACCTAAGGCCAATCCCCAGGACCCATAGGGTGGATGGAGAGAACTGGCCTCTGACATTATCTTCACCTCCATATGGTCTATGTACACACACACACACACATACACACATGCGCGCGCACACACACACGCATACTCCCAATAAATATAATTTATTCATTTTTAAAAATCTGAAGTCCAGGGCCGGGCAGTGTTGGCGCACGCCTTTAATCCCAGTGCTCAGGAGGCAGAAGCAGGTGGATCTCTGTGAGTTTGAAGTCAACCTGACCTACAGAGCAAGTTCTAGGACAGCTAGGAGAGAAACCCTGTCTCAAAAAAAAAAAAAAAAAACCTGTATATATATGAAGGTTTATTTGGTTCACACCACTTGTACCACAGGCGAGCCATGCCGCCGCTCTCCCTACAGCCCGCTGTTAGTGGAAAACAAATTCCTTGCACGGTCCAGTCACTCTCAAGACTGAGTTACTGAGCACACAGAAAACTAGTTCTATCAGCCATTTCTGTAACATCAGCATCTGGGAAGCTGAGGCAGGAGGATGGCCACAAGTTCCAGGAAACCCTGGGCTACACAATGTAAGACCCTGTTTCAAAAACAATATTCAAATGTTCCTGTTTCTTCCTCAATAACCCTCATTTCGTGTGTACACATAAATACACAATGTTCTGTAAGATGGTACGCTTTCTTTTTATTTTTGAGATGAGTCTCATAACCCAGGCCCTAATACATAGCTGAATTTGAAATTCAGATTCTCCTACCTCTCCCTTGTAAATGCTGGCAATTGTGGGTGTGCACTAGCATGCCTTTTTATAAGACTAGAAAATAGTAAAGTTATTATTTAGTTAGTTAGTTTTGGGGGGGGTTGTTTGTTTGTTTTTGAGACAGGGTTTGTCTGTGTAACCCTAGCTGTCCTGGAACTCGCTGTGTAAACCAGGCTGGTCTCGAACTCACAGAGATCTGTCTGCCTCTGCCTCCCGAGTGCTGGGATTAAAGGTCTGTGCCACCACCTCCTGGCTAATTCATATTTTGAAAACCTACTATGTGCTGGGTAGTTTTTGCCAACTTGACACAAGCTAGGTCACCTGGGAGGAGAAAACTTCAGATGCTGAAAAACTTCCTCCATCAGACTGGCCTGGGGATGTGTTTATGGGACATTTTCTTCATTAACAATAGATTTAGGAGCACCCAGCCCACTGTGGGTGGTACCACCCCTTCGGAAGCAGTCCAGAGTTGTGTTAGAAAGCAGGCCGAGCAATCCTATAAACAGCATTCCTCCAGGGCCTCTGCTTCAGCTCCAACCTCCAGGCTCCTGCCCTGCCCTCCCTCAACGATGGACTGTTAGCGGGAACTGGGAGTGGAAATTTACACTCTCCTCCCCAAGGTGCTTTAGGTCAGTGCTTTCTCACAGCAAGAGGAAAAGAAACTAGAACTGGACCTGGCATCAGAGTGGGCTTGTAGCTGTGAAGGACCTCACAGCGTTGTTTTGAGGACTGTGGAAGGATTTTGGAGCTTTGGGCTAGAAAAGCTATTGAGCGCTCAGAGCATAATAAGCCTTTGTTGGGAGCCTGGAAGATAAAAATGCCCAGCACAGTGCAGATGGGGGCCTGGCTTGTGACATTTCAAAGGGAAGTTTGCGAGTCCCTCAAAGACTCTAGAAGGTCAACAAGAATCAATTTAAAAAAAAAAAAAGGGACTCTAGAAGGGCTGTTTTGTGATGTTTTATATTGAGACTCTGTGGCTTCTGGTCAGCTGAAGAACTGGCTGTGATTGCCAGGAGTCCAGCATCACTGAAGTGAACCCTTTGCTTTACTGGGCCACCTAATCCTGGTCAGCTGCAGCTGAAAAATCAGCTGTGGTTAGAAAAGATTAAGAGCACTGAAACGAAATCTCGGGGTCAGCACTCAAAAGCTGTGGTCCCAGAACAGGGGAACAAGACTCAAGCTGGCAGCTCGACTCGCTACGCTACTGTGTTAGCTTCATCCAGGTGGGATTGGTTTTGAAGGCAGGAAGGGGTCATGGAGAGTAGCCGAGGCCTAGCACTGTGAGAGACCAGGGGAGGCCATTGGTGAAGGTGCAGCCTCGGTTACAGTGGAGACCCCAGGATATCGGAGACACGAGGACTGTGGGATGACCATCGAGGACACAGCAGGTGTGGAGTGGAGCTGTCCTGAGTCAGGAGACAAGCTACATGAGCCGCAGGTAGCACAGGTAGAGAGGCAGGACTACCAAACTCCCAGGAGTCCCAGATCTCAGACGCGAAGCCGTTTACACTGTTAGATGTTCGTTTTGCTTCGGTCTGATTGTAGCTCTGCCCTAATGCTTTTCTTCTAGAACAGGAAGTATTTAACTGGACTTTGAGTTTACAGGAAACTGCAGTTAAGAGACTTTGGCTATTTTAAGGAAACTTTGAACTTGTAAAATATTGTAACTAAGGAGTGTGGCTTTTAAAAGATGGACTGTCTTACCCTGTGACATTAACATAAAATCTTGTGAACAAGAAATAAAAAGTAGTGATATGTCAAGTGGAGAAGGGGTCACTTGGAATTGCCTCCATCAGACTGGCCTGTGGCCAAGGGGGTCATTTTCTTGGTTAATGATTGATTCGTTGTTCTTGCTGTCACCCTTGGACAGGTGCCGCTGGGTTATTTAAGAAAGTGGACTGAGAAAGTCATGGAGAGCAAGCCAGGAAACAGTTCTTCTTCTTCGGGTCCCCCCTCTCGGTTCCTGTCTCAGTTTCTGTCGGTGATGAACTGTGCTGAAACACACCCTTTCCTCCTCAAGTTGCTTTAGGTCAATGTTTTAGCACAGCGACAGAAAGCAAACTCGGACACCTGAATTAGAGCCATTGTCATCATTTTTCTTTTTTCTTTTTAGTTTTGTTCATCTCCTCGAATTACAAACTAAATTTAGTCAGGCATGGTGGCACACAGCTGTTATCCCGGCGCTGGAGAGAGAGGCAGGAGGATCAAGAATGTAAGAGCAGCCTAGACCAAAATGAGTTCGAATCCAGTCTGACCAAAATGAACAAATAGATGAACAAATAAACAAACATTAAACTGAATCGCAGGCATGGGGGCATAAGAGAAATGTAATATGCATGCTCTCTGTCTGTCTGTGGTTCCAATGGAGGGGTCTTGAACATTTACCCCTCGTGCATAAATGGAGAACAGTGTACAAAGAGAAGCTAGCAGACACAGTCTGACCAGCTCTTGGAAACTCTTCCCTGCTGGCTCTCCCAGCAGTTCATGGTAGAACTTAGCCGACACTCCCAGCCAGTTCCCTAGGAACTGCAATGGTACCATGCCAACCTCAGTGTCGACCTCATCCCCTGCCTGCTTTTAGCAAGGGAAGATCCTGAGTGTATTTGTGGGGGCTGCGGTAGTTTTAGGGGGGAAGTAAGTACAAAAAAGGTAGACTTCTGCCCCGACTGTGGAAAGGCTGCCTAAACCTTAGCACTGCCCAGACTCAGAGCCAGCGCCTGTGGGGAAGCACTTAGCCCCGGGGGCTAGTTGTTCAAGCAAGCAGCAGATGCCAGTTTGGTACTAGACAAGTGGGGTGGTGACCTCCAAGGACCTCTTCCCATACTTACCCCATGGGATGATGAAAAGGGGGGGAGACTGTCACAAAAATAGATCAAATACCAAATCATATTTCCCATTCCAGAATCACCATAGGAACCGTCCAGGGCCAGTTTCTCGGGCCAGGCTGGAGCTGGGTCCCAGTTCTATTACACGACTTCCCAGCTCCAGCCAAATCCCATCTCTACATCTTATTTTCTTTCAGAACTTAACAGTTCCTTTTTCTTTTGTTGGGTTTTTTTTTTCAAAGCCTCTCTCTACTATGTAGCTCTGGCTGTCCTGGAACTCACTTTGTAGACCAGGCTGGCCTCCAACTTAAAGAGATCTGCCTGCCTCTTCCTCCTGAGTGCTGGAATTAAAGGGGGTGCACCAAACCCAGCAGGAGTCCCTATAAATTGCCTCTGCATTTTTAAACATTAGCACCTTATTTCCAAATGCTTAAATACTCTCTAGCCTCGGCTGGGGGATGTGCACAGATCTCAGGTGGTAGAGAGCTCACCTAGTATGCACCAAGTCCTGGTTTCAGTTCGGTTCCCAGTGCCATATAAACCAGGCGTAGCAATGCACACCTACAATCCTGGCACTCAGGTAATGGAGGCAAGAGGACCCTAAGTTCGAGGCTGTCCTTTGCTATGCAGCGGTTTTATGGCCAACCGGGGACACATGAGGCCCTATCTCTAAATAGGCCAGCTCTGTTAGGGAAGGGGCCTTGGAGGGGCAATGCTTAAGCTGCCCTTGGGTGAGGATGAGCTGCAGAATAATCTGCCTCTCTGGCTAGGAACAGAAGCTCCCCTTCCAGAGACTAGTCAAGGCTCATCCAGGACCCTAATCACTTCACTTTTCCTCTTTGAGCAAGGAACAAAACTCACAGCAAGCCTCTGCACACTCCTGGGGACGAATCCGCTGGAGCTGGCGCTGCACTCACCTGCCATGGCTCCTGATGTTGAACGCAGACTGTAGTACCAGATGCTGACAGGCTGAGCAGCTGGTTGCCCGCAGACTGTAGTACCAGATGCTGACAGGCTGAGCAGCTGGTTGCCCGGACGACCCTGCAGAGTTATGGAGAGATCTGTAGGGCTGCAGCCTGGGCTGAGCACTTGTTGGCTTTATATCCTGCCTAATCGGCCCCGCCCATTTTGTAGGGCAGCCAGCCAGCGAAGGCGGGGCTGGATTCAGGAACCCAGAGGCTCTGTGGGGAGGATCCCAAGTTACTGGATGGGAGAAGCAGTTTAGGGCTGGAATAGGGCTCCTCATAAGGAAGTCAAAAGGGTTTCCTGAAAGCCAAGCAGTGAAAGGGGATTTAAGGACATGGGTACATATGGGGTAAATTCAACTGTCCTCTGCCGGAGACCTCCTGGATACAAAATGGAAATTTCCAACAGTAATTACCTGAGCCTTATTGGGCTTGCTCACATATCCGGCCTGTATGGATTAATCTTTACAATCTTTTACTGAAGCCCTGAGAAGTAGCCTTTCCGTGCAAAGGGAAGGGTGAGGCTAGCAAAATCCTGGCTCAGATTTTTGCCAAGTCACTGTGACTCTAGACTGAGCGCCTAGAGATTCACACAAAGATTTACATCAGAGCATAGAACAAAAAAGGTTTTAAATCTCCATAAGTAAGCATTATGGTTGTGGGGCATGTAGCACAGGCCTTTAATCCCAGTAGACAAGAGTCAGAGGCAGGCAGATCTCTGTGAGTTCAAGGCCAACCCGGTCTATGTAGTGAGTTCCAGGACAGTCAAGGCTACATAGTGAGACCCTGTCTCCAAAACAAACAAAAAACCAAATTGGTAAAGTCATCCTACAGAAGAAAAAGGAAATGGACTGTCAGGAAGTCAGGTAAAGGGGCTGGAGGGATGACTCTGCTGTTAAGTGAACGGGCTGCTTTTTCAGAGGACCTTTGGTTCCCGGCATCTCGTGGGGTGGCCCACAGAGGACCCTTTGGTTCACAGCATCTCATAGGGTAGCCCACAGAGGACCCTTTGGTTCACAGCATCTCATAGGGTAGCCCACAGAGGACCCTTTGGTTCCTGGCATCTCATGGGGCTGCCCACAGAGGACCCTTTTGTTCCCAGCATCTCATAGGGTGGCCCACAGAGGACCCTTTGGTTCACAGCATCTCATGGGGCTGCCCACAACCAGTTGTAATTCAGCTCCAGGGGACCCATCATCTTCATCTGACCTTAGACAGGGAGGTAGGATCTGTTTAGTCTCAAACCTTTCACCTGACAGATCTGACCTCCTGGCTAACTGAGGTTCCTATTTAACAAATTCAAAGCAGACCTGGCTAGCAGGATCTCCCAGAATCCCTCAGTCCTTACCTGTCACAGGGTATGGCTGGCATACCCTGACCATACCCTGAAAACTTCAGGCCAGGAGCTACCTGCCTTTGCCCCCAAGCAGTTCTCCCCTATATAATCCAGACATCTGGGCTACACCAGTCCTTTTTACTCTTTACCCTCCTGGTCTCTTGGTCTCCCTGGTTTCCTGACTCTCCCATCCCTGTTCTCCGAGGCCAGGCTCAGGGTCTGGTTCATTCTGGACTCTCCCAGGTATTTCTGCCTCTGGCTATGCTCTCCCTTTTATTTACCATAAACCTCCTTCTCCACGACACCTAGGAGCAGTCATGTCGCCTTTCCTTTCCATCTTTCATTCAGGATCTGGAGTCGCAGTCTTCCTCGGTGTTGAGGTCAGGCTATGCTTTACTCGAAGTCATTCCACAGTGTATAAGACAGTGGTTCGTCAGGCAGTAGCCCGGCCTCATAGACTCCACTATACAAGGACCTAGAAACTATGCCATCTGTCCCACCATCCATCCAGCATGGACTAGAAATGCTTTACTCCTGGGAATAGAAAGGACACATCCTTAGGTTTACTGGGGAAACTTAAAGCTGGGAGGGTCACATGGGATAGCAGGGAAGGAGGTCCTTGTGCTCACAGATAGGCACTAGGGGAACCAGGAACGCTAAACACACACGGTTGTCTCTTTAAAGGGAGAGATGGATAACCTGTTTTCTGTCCAGAAGATGTGCTTAATAGCCTGGTGACCTTTGGGCTATCTATATGGCCAAGAGGACACCAGATCCTCCCCAGACCCTTGTCTCAAACTTGTTTTCTCAGTTAATACACAGAACTCGTCTTTATGGAAGATGTCATTTGTACTTAACAAAGAGTTTTGATGTGAGATTGAGTGAATTATCACCAGGAAGCTTTTCACCAAATTGTTCTGTGCTTAATAATGCCTCAATTAAGCTACTTGGCATCAGACTTGAAGTTTGTTACTCTTCTGACTATGGTGTTTGCAAAGACCCACCCACCCACCCACACACACACACACACACACACACACACACAACATGGGTGCATTAAAATCATATCAGGGATTCCAGGTCCAAGGACTTAACAGATATTCCCAGTAGAGGAAAGGGCATAACTCCTTCAAGTGGACTGCATAAAGTGATGTCCCCTAACTCTGGAATGGCAGGAGGTGGGGCATAGCTTAGTGGTAGAGCCCTCACCTAGATGTGTGAGAGCTTGGGATCAGTTCCAGTAGTCTGAAACAGGCAAACCCTTAAACACACACACTGCAAAGGCATGACTACACGCCAACCTATCCCCTGATTGTTGGTATGTGGCAAGAACAACTGAGGACTCCCCTGTTCTGCCCTGTCCCTCACAACTGATACAGCCTCCTTGTCTGCCTGTCCATCCACCTGCCTGCCCCTCTGGACCTGGACCTGACCCACTGCTGTTTCCTGCTCTTGATCCATTTCTTGCTCTGGACTTGGTTGAGGCCCTTTCATCTCACGGCCAAATCCTGCAGCTTCATTCTCAAACCTGACTCCAGCACAGTATCGCCATAGCTCCCTCCAGACATCGGCCTTGCTCCTTAGCTATGGAGCTACTTTCCCAGTACACTGTTGAAACTCTTGAATTCTGCAGTAGCTTCTTTTCCTTAACCTGTCTGAATGTGAAGAGATATGTAGCTACATTCACAGTGTGATGTGAGTTAATATTAGCAATCAAAATTGGAATAAAGCCAGGCAGTGGTATTGTCTGAGTTTCTGTCCTGCCCAGTTCCCACAATCATTAAGTCCCAAAGAAATCACACAGAGGTCTACATTAGTTATAAACTGATTGGCCCATTAGCTCAGGCTTCTTATTAACTCTTATAGCTAATATTAACCCATTATTCTTGTCTGCGCTAGCCACATGGCTCAGTACCGTTTTCAACTAGGCAGTCACATCTTGCTTCTTCTGTGGCTGGGCCAGGACCACAGAGGGAGCTTTCCTCTTTCCAGAGTTCTGTTCTCATTGACCAGCCTCTACTTCTTGTCTGGTTGTCCTGCCTATACTTCCTGCCTGGCTAGTGGCCAATCGGCGCTTATTTAAAATATAATTGACAGAATACAGACCATTGTCCCACAGCACTTCCCCTTCTTTTTAAAAAGAATCTTACAGCAATGTTCTTCCCAACCAAAGTACAGGGGGGAATCTATAGGGAGCCCATATTTGTTCCTATGGAGAGGAGGTTTAGGGAGGGGACATCCCTGCACATGCCCAGTTTGTGGCATAAAGCTTCATCTGGAATAAAAGGACACTTGCCATTAAAACAGGAACTCTGCTTGAAGGTGCCAGCTCTGCTTAGCTACTAACAGTGTAAAGTCAGCTACATGAAATCTTGTTTCAAAACCAAAACCTAGGAGCTGGGAACAGAGCTCCATCTATAGAGGCTCTCTGCCTCCTGAGTGTGGATGCAATGTGACCAGCCGCCTTCAACTTCTACCACCATGACTGTTCTGCCATGACAGACTCTACCCTCCAGCAGAGCTATAGTAAGCTCCTGAAGTCACTATTGTCTCAGCAACAGGCAAATAACCAACACACCACATTGCAATGTTGGACATTGGATTTTCCCGTGTTTCCAAACATTTATTGGCTGAGGGCAATGCTTCGTGTTATCTCTCAAGTGTAAAGAAATGGCAACATAAGAATCACAATTTCCATACTAAAAAAAATAAAAGATGGTTTATTCTGAATCCATTTAGAGTGAGCATGACCCAGAAAAACAAATTTAGGTTACTTCCAATGTGGAAGCAGTTTCACAGGGTTTCTGCAGTTTCACAGATCAAAGAAAGTCTAAGTCAAGGCAACTTTACAATTTGTGGATACACCAGAGCGGCAGGTGCATTGAGATAGGGGTGGGGAGTGGTATTTTATAGCCTGAAGACGTCATCTGATAACCGTCTTAGAGCTCTTGGGTTGGCAGAAGCTAATGCAATACTAAGTTAATAGCTTCAAGGAGGTTTTTATTTATTATCATGAGATGTTAGTTCAGATAGAGTGGGAGCTGGGCAGTGGTGATACACACCTTTAATCCAGCATTCAGGAGGCAGAGGCAGGCAGATCTCCGGAGTTCCAGGCCAACATGGTCTACTGAGTGACTTCTGGGACAGCCAGGTATACACAAAGAAACCCTGTGTGTTTTGGAAAGCCAAAGAAAGGAAGGAAGGAATGAACTCAGATACTGATTATGACAAGAAACTAAGACTAGCCCAAGATAAAGTAGTTAGCCTCAGAACCTATCAAATTCCAGTCTCTCCACAGTACTTAACTTTCGCCTGATAAATCCATCTCTGCAGACACAACACAGACTCCTTCCAGGAGATTTGTCTTTTGATGTTGTTGTTGTTCACAGCCAGATTCTTTTCAGGCATTTTTGTTCACATAAACTAAGTAAACTATTTCCTTCAAAATACAAAGTAAATTAAACCAGGTATGAGGAAGAACACAAGCAACAGAGAATGTAGAGGTAGGAGGATTCCCATAAGTTCAGTGTGAGATTGGGCTATATAGTAAGTACATTTAACATCCACATGCTGCAAACACACATACACATAGGAACACACACATACACGTAGGAACACACACATACACATACTCATGATGAGGAACCTCCTTCAGCTAATGGCTTTTGAGAGGCTGGATCAGGTTGGGTGTGACCTTGGATACCAAAAAGCATGCGAATACCCCCGAGCCTCTCTCTTGGCCCCCATTCATCTCACCTGGATGTTGGATTAAGCTCCTGTTTCCTGTTGTGATCTGTGAGTTTCCCTTTAATAAAAAGTGCCTATTTATACTCTATTTGGACCTAGTGTGGGATTTCTTATCCACATTCCCTGCCGCAGAAGGCATCTTCCTCTTCATCTGCCACCCAATGTGAGAATGAGCCCATGTTTACCAGGACATCCCCCCTGCAGTCCCCCCCCCCCCGCTGGGACCCAAACCACCCTGCCCACAGCATGATGCTGCAACTCTCTCCATGTATGAAATTGCTTTAATTATCCTTATTAACTACTCTAAAATTGTCTAGCAAAGCATATTTGCCAGCATCTAAGTAGGCACAACAAATTGCAAAACCAAAGTAAAGTTGTTCCATCTCTCTTTGCCACATGACTGCAACAGTGACATCTGCTGGCCAATAAAGATTATTAAACCTTCAACAATTCACTGAAATTTCCTGAGGAAAGAAAGTAAATTAGTTATTTAAAAGTTATATGATGATAAAAATAAATGGTATATAGTCTCTAGAAGAACATTTTGTGGGATTCCTGAGTGTGAGAACTAGTGGATCTCTGATTCTTGTGCCTTCTTTTGGGCTCTTTTCCTTCTGCTTGTTTTGTCCAATTCCAATGTTACAGTTTTTGTTTTATCTTATTATATTTTACTATGTTATATTTGATTATTAAAACATTTTGTTTGGTAAAAAAAAAAAAGTTATATGATGACAGACAATATTACCTTTGGGCATTAATAACCATTTTATTACTCTGTGGATGGTCCTGTGCAAGGCTTATGTGATTTTTCTTATACACCCATTTACTTGATTTTGGAAATTAGCATTGTTTTTCATATCATATCCTTAAGAAAATGATTTGATAACAGTCTTTACAGACTAATAATGAACAGCATTGAAAATGATAACATACATTAATTTGACAGACAAAATTAAATCCATGTCAATGGGTGCTGAAAATTTATCAGAAAGAATTTATACTGTTGAATTTAACAATCAGATTATTTTTAAAACTTATGATAAGTTAATGGATAGGTTATCTCTCCAGGAAGACAATATGCATGTCATTCAAATAATATCCAAGGATGAGATATTATCTTTACTGTACAAATTTCATACTTGGGAATCATATGGGCAGAACAAGGACCAGAAGCTAAATGAATCAATAACAGCCCTAAAACAGAACACAGGACAAGAGATGCAGACTTTACAAAAACCAATGGTAAAAAGATTTGAAACAACTAAAGAAATTATCAGAACTGTTGAGCAGGGAGTGAAGGTACAAGAACAGGATTTAGCCTGGTCAGTATATACCAGAGTCCAAAATGATTTATGTGGAGTTTTAGCTGCTTATCTGGTAATATTCTCTGATAAGCAATCTGGTACTAAATACCCTAAAGTATTCAAAGAATGTAAATAGCAACTTATAGGTGTGAGTGATCTAAAGGAAATTAAGCAAGCAATAGTATCTCATGGCTTACATTCACTATTTGTTAGGGAAATGGTGAAAATGTTGGCTTCAAGCAATAAGGCTAGCCTGCACACAATTGGCTTCAATTAATTTCAGCAGTCCTCGAAGAAGGAACCACAGCTGCTATGTAGGTGCTACTAGTAAGAAGAGGCAAAAAATTAGAACAACAGAGAAAAGCAAAAGGATTTGAGGCTTCCCAAGATCAAATTCTTGGTGAGGGCTGATACTCTGACCCACAGGGCCAGGCTCTATACAAAAAACACACCTTGTCCCTATGCCATGTAGAAGTATTAAATGTTTAGGACAGGATTCAAGAGCCCAAAAAAATAATTGAACCATATGCCAGGGTTAAACAGGACCAGAGAGAACCCTTTAGTGACTTGTCACAAAGATTAACTAAGGGCTGTGCAAGTAGGAGTAAAAGACCCAGAAGCTAGACAAGTACTTATCGAATCTCTGGCTTTTAAAAATGCCAACTTAGAGTATAAAAAGAAACTTGGGCATTTAAAGGTCAGATCACCTTGAATGGATGAATGGATACTGCATATAATGAATGTTGAGACATTTGTCTATAATACTGAGGATTAGATAGGAGAAGCAATTTCCAGTGGTGTGAGGAGACACTAAAATGCCAAATGTTTTAATTGTGGTAGAATGGGACATCTGAGAAGGGATTGTAGGCAAGGAGTTCCTAGAAATAATATCTCTTCTGGGGGAGGCAAAAAA